AGACATTACCCTCAAAAATTAAAAAAAATTCCCTCGTTCCCCGTAAATGGGGGAAACCTCCGAAAAAATTACAAATTTAAAAATGGCTAATTTTTGAAAATTTTTCAATTTTTTTATTAAANTACAAATTTAAAAATCGCTAATTTTCGAAATTTTTTCAATTTTTTTTACTTAAAAGTGCCATAACTTTTTCAAAAATAAACATATCAATATAATTCTTTTTTATATAGATGCATAATATTATTACCTTTCATTTGGTATATTTTTTTCATAAATTTAACCTTTAACCTGCCCACAAGGAGGGATTTAAAATGACAACTTTTCTACAAAATATTAATTTTTTCAACTTAACTTTTGAAAGTGTTCCGGAAGGTCTGACACTTTTATATATATCTTAAATTAAAGTTAATGTAATATACTTTATAATGGTAAAAAAAAATTTCGGACTTTATTTTATCTTCATGGTGAAAACAGACATTAAACTTAATAAAAAAAATACGATTTTTGTAAAAAAATTCTTTTTTATATTTTTAACTTTATAATGCTATAACTTCTCGAAAGATGTATGGATCAATATAATTCTTTTTTTTGTAGATGCATGATGTCTTTACCTATCATTTGGTATATTTTTTTTATAAATCTGACTTTTTACCTGCCTACAGGGGGGGATTCAAAATGACAACTTTTTCACAAAAAATTGACTTTTTCAACTTAAATTTTGAAAGTGTTCCGGAAAGTCTGACACTTTTCTATATATATTAAATTAAAGCTAATGTAATCTAATTTATTATTTAAAAAAATTTTGGACTTTATTTTGTCTTCACGGGGAAAATGGCAACCAAATGCTATTTTTGTGTGAAAATTCTCGATTTTGTATTCTACATTTTTAACTTTATAATGCTATAACTTTTTGAAAAATATATGGATCAACACAATTTTTTTATGAGAAATAATATTTTTTAATAATCCCTTTTTCATTCGACATATATTTTATCTTAATCAGGATATTAATAAGGAACTAGCAGATCATGTTGCTTTTGAAATAATCTACCAATTTCTTAAAATTAAACACTATCTACAGATTTGCATCCAAGCGTTTCTTATGATAGTGATTTTAATCACTGTCAGATATCATAATACTTGATCCAACTGTGCCACGTCACCACTGTGCCGTGACCCCCCTGTGCTGGGTTTTTATTTTTACATTTCGTTAATTTTATTTTAAAGTTCTTAGCAGTTTTTTTTTTTAATTTTTTGGTTTATTACAAAAATTTATAGTTTTTATTATTCATCACTTTATTAGATGTTTAAAAAAATAATAATGTTTAGAAAATTTAGATATTTTCTACATGTTTTCTTTATATCTTCAGTACTAGAAATTTTAGAAAAATGTAAAAGAGGCTACTACCACTATATTATTTTGGAAATTTCACATAATAATACAATTATAAACAATTTTAAATAAATCTTCTAGGAGACACGTGTTAATTGTTGTGAGAGGTAAGGGGATTTAATCCTTACGAATCTGCAATCATTTTAAGCCCGCACGTCCATCAATTAAGCATAAACAGAATTTATTATTACATTTGGTTATCTATGTTATATTAATAACTTAAAATACTACTCATAGTTTACCGAAACAATTAAATTTGATAAATATAAAAGGACTTCATATGTAAAAGAATATGATATATTATTTATTATTACGTTATATAAGAATATATAACTTTATATCTATAAAAAAATACATTTAAAACCATAAAAAACTTTGTTTTATCAAATATTATAAATTATAAAACAAATCATAAAATTAAAAATTTCGTAATACTTACGACTAGAAATGTACAATAATTATTTTATCGGCTACTGATGGAAACTCATATTTATTGTTATTGACTAATATTTATTGTTACTTTGTTAGAGCCTAAGCATAAACGGCGTTCACTAGTTACTTTACTTTCAATTTCTTTTAGGACAACCCTATCGGAAGATTTTTCCATAACTAATTTCTTGAGGTGAAACTAAATATAGCGGTTTTATCATCATTTTAATAATTTATAATCTGTTGTGATTACAGTTAGTAACAATTACTATCCAGCATCAGGTTAAAATGTTGACAGGCTCTTAATGTTAAATATCTCTTAAGTGTGATATTTGAAATGTCAATAAAAATATTTTAACTAAAAAATTTTTAAAAATAATGCTAGAAAATGTTCCTTTTATTTTCTGTCGTAAAAAGCAACAATATTGTAGTTAAAATTATACTAATTACAATATTTTTGCTTACATATTTTGGGCATAATTAGTAAGCAAAATTTATTATGAAAAATTAAACCAGAGGTTATGAATAATAACGCTCTAAGTCAATCATTATGTCGTACGTCGGTAGTGCTCCAACGTAGACACAAAGGTTTATTAAAGTTTTATGTATATATATATTGACGACGAGTTCGTCGTCCGAGCTCTTCTCGAGTCCTCCCGTTGGATAAACTGATCAGCCCCAATCTCTCTAATTAGTGGACTACTAAAGGGGTAGAGTTTAGACCCGTCAGCACAGTCTAGCTCAAAAGAAGCAGATTGAAGGGTGGCTCCTTGTCAGCCACCAGCACAACTACCTTTTTACTATACCCACTAAAGGACGGTTAAGCCCAAACTCGTTCACTAATTATCAAGATTGACTAAAGGACCAGCAGTCCAACCTAGACTCTAGCCGCACACACACACACAATTTCGAGATCACCGTGAATATAAAATATTTGCGCTAAGTCCAGATTTTTAAATAGTTATTTTATTTACGAAATGTATCAAACACAAAGTCAAATATAACATAATAATTTAACACAAAAATTAATTAAATCTTATAAAAAAAAATATAAAGTTATTCTTACATCAACGACCTAACCCGTAACTCGACGTTTCTTCGACCAAAACGTCCAGTCTCGTCTCGCCCAGTATCGTCCCGTGTCGTCCCCCTATACTTTTCATGTTTCCCTTTTATATTCTTTTTCCCACCATTATTAATTTGCTTACCCTGCATTTCCCTTTTATATGAAATTATTATATTGCTTAAGAGTTCAAAAATTGCTTACTACTATTGTAAAGCTTATATTATACTAAAATCGACGTAATTCAATACTTCCTCATCTAATTACTACAATTATAAGGTGTATTTTGTTAACCCTTAAACAGGCGACTATGAACGTTAAAAATAGGTACGCGCCTGCTTAAGGGTTAAACTTCATTTGTACAAAATAGACTCCTTTTAAGGACCCTTTTAGTGTGGCATCGTGTAACTATGAGGCGATAATTACACGTAACATCAATCTTTCTTAGATTTAACAATAATTATAAAATAAATAATATCTTATACTACAGTAAAAGACATATGTTGACATCTATTATAGCTACTAATTTAATTAGAAATGATATAATTAAAAAAAATATTGCAATTACTTTACTTTTTCTATAACTTTTAATAAATACAAAAGTCCACTAATTTAACAACAATGCATCTTACAGATTTTAATTGATTAAATTAGTATAGGAAGCATGCATTTAATTACCGATATTTTCATGTGATATCATAACTATAATATGATTAATCGCACACCGAACATCACTTTATCTGCCATAAAATATCTTGATATTGCATGGGTTTTAATTTCTTCATATGACCACGTCGAAAAAACCCGGCTTCTTCAAGGTAATAACCTTGATATTATTATTTATAATAATTATTAATTAGTCTGAATTAATTAAATCAAAATTGACCAGAAGGAAATAATTTACAAATAGTTTTATCAGGTTATATTTTTAATCGATAGTTAATAGTAAGGTCACCTAATCACTTATTACAATACTTAAAATATATAAAACGTAGGTCCCTTTTTAATTTTGATTCTGTCCTCTATAAGACTCTCAAGATCCGTGTAAATTTAACATAAATAATCGTCAAGAATTTTGAATTGTACATTGAACACAACAAACATGTACTTATTAAAAGTGTTTTTAACTTTCATCGCCATTATATTTGGTCTATTCAATTCCGTTCACTCAGATTGTCAGGAAAGTTTTCATGCAAACTTTTGAAATTAGCTGCCCAATAACTGCCACAGTTTTTTTCAGTGTAAATGTTGCAAACGATAAATTTAGAAAAATCGTAAGATATTTTAATTTAATTGAAATTAAAAAAAAAACTAGTGATATTTGAACCGAATCAAACATCCTAAGTTTAAAAATCAAACTTTTATAATGATACAAAAAATGGTTTGCCTGACAATGATTAAAATTAATATTAGGTTCGAGTTCAAAAATGGTATCATTAAAAAATTGAAAGTTTGGTTTAAGTTCAATCCTAAATACAGCATTAAAAAAACTTTAAGACATACTCAGGCATAATGAAGTTGCGTGAAGTAATTAATTATTATCGATAGGTAGTTAAATATTCACAATGTGACTATTTACTATTGTAATATTCTATTTTATATTTTGCGTACACGTATTGTAAATTTATAATATATCCATTCAATTAAAATTAAGATTTTGGTCGAATCATATTATCTTAAATAAAATTCAAAATTTTAATGATGATTAATTAGTTATTTTATTCAACTGAATAATTTTTTATTTTTATTTCAAAAAATAATTAACCAATAAAAATCAACAGGATTTCTCACTAAACCTACAATGCGCTTATAAAAATCTCTAGTACACTTCATAAGAATTTATATCTTGTGATTAATAGATTCACATGTAAAATTATGAAAATATGTTTCCATAACAATTTTTTCTTGAAAAATATTTGCTCAATATTATTCACGTAATTTTATATATATAAGACTTTATATTATACAAACTAATAATAGTTTTTATAAATATTGATATAATTTTAACTGTAAAACTTATATTTTTAATACATAATAGGTAATTTGATTTTGTTGTTTTTAATAGAAGATTTTGTATTTTAATTAAAAATAAAATAATTACTAAAGTATTTTAAATAAAGAAAATAGTGTATACGTTTAATTATGATAAATCATAGTTAATTATAATGAAGTGAAGTTATTTCATTTATTTTTACACATTGTTTTCAAATTAATATCAGGAGACAATGTTAAAATTAGCATATTTTTCATTTTTGTATATATAGTATAGTTGATGCATTTGATTTTATTAATTAACATTAAGAACTTGAATTGAACGGGAACGCATAAGGATGGAGTTTCTCTTCTAAAATGAAAAAAAAATACTTTAATTAAAAAATACTTAGTATATGAAATGACTATACATGTCTTTTAGATATTATATAATTTAAAATAAAAATGTTTATACTATTTAGAATATATATTGTAAACAGTCTGTACAAGTTGAAATGTGTATTTGTATTAATAGAGTTTTATACTTATTCATTGTTGATTTGTGTCATATTAAAAATTCTCTCGTTCCCTGAAATTTGGAAAAATCATCCAAAAAATTACAATTTTTATGGGTAAATTTCGACATTCTTTAAACTTAATATGATACACTAGATAAAATATTCACACTTTGGATATTCTTTTATGCAATTTAATAAAAATTTAATAAAAGGAGTACGGAAAAGGTTTGAAAATGAAACCACACACGTATGTTTAAATTATTTTTATCCTGCACAATTTTTGGAAATATTTAGAAACGACTAAATACACTAAACTAATATAAAATTAAAGATTTTGAAATATATTGTAAGATTAAAAAAAAATTGTCCCGGCGTCTATTCCATTATAAGAAAATAGCTGTCAAAGTAAAAAAGTTCACAATTTTTTTAATAAAAATAATTTTATTTAAGTATTAAATAAGTATTTAATTTATTTTTAATTATATATATCCACAAATAATAGTGTATAGAACTAATTTTTATACTAAATTATGCAGAAAATCGTTTAATAACAGTTATAATATAGTTTTATGTAAACAATTTAATTTTAATAAGTTCTTAATAAACTCAAAAGGATCAAAAAATTAGTTAAATATGAAATTTTAAATCGAAATTCCACTTAGATTATTTTTAACAAATTAAAAATCAAAATGTTTTATACTTAGAACAAATTATTTTTATTTGTTTTTAAATGATTTCTTTGTAGTAAAACCTTGTCTTTTACTAATGAGTAAATATCTCAAAAATTAGAGCTGATAAAAAATGTCTAATAGCAGATTTAAAATCAAATTTGTTTAGAAAATTATATTTATTTCTGATAAAAATTTCTTGTAGAATTTTGAATTAATACACTGGGTATATATTCAAAATTAACAACAAATTATTTTTTGAATAGTTATCTGGTTATTGCATCAACCTCTTCAATTTTGAGACACGTTTGCCACAGTGTTTACGAAATATAATACAATTTTCATTATTTTTATCATTATACATTACTCCGACGCGCTCCTCCGCCGCTCTATATATAAACATATTACTAACTTCTGAAATACTATTTCAAAAGTTGTTATCGATCAATTTTTTGTTTTATAAAATAAAAAATTATTGATAGTTTTTTATAAATTATAAAAGATAAGAATATAAACAATATATTATTAACCGTTATGTGTATCATAGTCTTTTAATGATAATTTTCTAGTTTTTATTGCTCTAACTAAGATTATGGACATCATTACCCATACCCATGGCGGTATTACGAACATAATACTCCTGGACAATTGGTTAGACTGTTGCCGTAGAGGATTGGATTAAGGTACTTTTTACATAAGAGGGCAAAATGATAACTTAGCCTTCCCATGGGATCAGTTTCTCCCCGCCCATTAGTTCCATCACCATTATCTGGTGTTCAAATTTAATGAAAATTCCTAATATTTTCAAATTTTATTACACAATAGTTAGTAAGTAGGTATATAAGGTTTAGTATTTGAAGAAAAAAATATTTTGAATCGAAAAATAAAAATGATTTGTAAAATTTCTATAAAAAAAACTGTTGTTCGGTCGTGACGAAACATTTTGGTGGGCGAGCGCCGGTTTTCTTCTCTTCAACAAGAGCGCGACCTGCCACAACTGGTTTATTAGTTGGGGCAGAGTGTGGCAGTGGTCGTGAAGGATTCAATCGCGTTCAATTAGTCGGCCGTTTCGGTTATATCGACGACAGGTTTTTTTTGGGTCGAGTATTGCCTTGTCGCCACATTGTTCAATTTGAGTTGCTCAACGACTTGTTATATTTTACGGTGTTTTTTTGTTGCCTTCCCTGCATCTGAAGTGTCACAATGTTCATCACCTTCAAACGGCAGTGAGTAATTATTAAGAATTTTTTATTGTTTATTTAACGGATTTACAGTCCACATAATATTTTGTATTAGTTATAAAAGGGGATGTATGTTACTTATTTCATTAGTAATTTGTGCTAATTTCATTTATCATTGGCTCTTGTTTGTTTGTTATTTTTTATCGTAACTGAAAATATCATATTAAGACTATTATATATATGTTGTCTTTTTTTATATTTAGTATATTGTAAGGCTAAATTTCCCCATTTTTATATTCTCCTTTCCTTCCGCTAAGGCATGGCCAAAATACGTATGGTCAATCGTATTTATTAAACAAACTAAAGGTTACAAAATTGCAAATTGCACAACTGTTTTTTGTAAAAAAAACCCTTAAAAAATCCAACTTTAAGATTTTTTTTTACACCATATATGTATTTTTTTAAATTTTTAAATACTTTTGAACATTTTTTTGATACTGGCTAACCGCAGTATTTTACTGGTTACTCTTTCTTAATGAGAGCACAATTTTTCCTCTTCTTCCTGGACGCAGTCATTTGAAATAGTAGTTGTGCGTTTATTTGGAAAACCATATTTCTTTTTTTGCTATTTTGCATCAGATTCAATTTCAGTATGTTTCATTTTGAGATGATTGATGGTCATTAGAAGTAATTATCGTTCTTAGATTGAGTTCCATACTTTAACATGTTTTAGCTACTTTAAGTTTTATTCAGTTGATCTATTTTTCGTACAACTTAAATATTACATATTATTATTTATTCTTGTCATGGTCACATTTTGTGTTCATGTTATGAAAGTCAGATGGACTTCAATCATCGAAGTTTTAGTGTAGTGTATTTGCATTTAATAGAATTAAAAATTTTTAAATTGTTGATAATAATTGTCTATATTGCAAAAGGGCACTATGCCCATTATGGTTTACTGTTTTTGAAAGTTGTTACAATTCTTAGTGAATTATTATAATGATGATCTTTTTTTCTTTGTTTATCGATTTTTTCTTTTTAACTAATCATATAAAATATTTATTAGAAAAAGAATACTTGGCTCCTTCCGGAACAATATTTATACAGTAATAAAATCTAGTATCTCATAAATCAATACAGCTTTAACAATAATTTATGTATTCTAATTGATTAGTTTAACTATAGAGAATAAAAGACAAAAATTATTTTAAGTATAGATGATGTTGGATACGCATTACGAGAGGGCGTTTTCTTACATTTTATGCTATGACTGATAACACCATTCGCATTACCACCACCGGTTGTGCGAGAGACTCATTACGTTGGATGAGTACGTGCGCGATCGTTGTACGACATCGAGTTGCTGTTGATCCTGTTTTGTGATTTTTTTGCGTTTTCGCCACTATTATAACTGCTCCTGTTATATGATTTTACGGTGCTTGCAAGCACGTAGTTGTTTAAAAACGTTGACATATCGCTCTTGCGATGCGCTCATTGAGAATTAAATTCTTACACCTTTAAGTACTATTCGCGTCAGTAAATTTTTCCTGGTACAATTGTCATGCCAAATACTTCATTCGCATTACATTCACATCAACCAGTCATCATTATTAGTATTGCTAAGTAATTATTAATTATATTGTTTTTCTATTATTTTAATCTTATTATTTGTTTTATTTGACGCATTGTTGCATTAGCATTGATTACCCACATTGATATATATATATATATATATAATATTTTGGTTTATAATTTTAAACAATTAATTGTTATATATTCCTAAATCGATTTTATTCATTAATACAGTCCAGTTCTATTTTTTTCTCCTTGCATGATTTTAGGAACTTTAAAAACAAACTTACACTAACCCGCAAATCATTACAGAGAGTTTCGATCAAACAGATGATATTTGACAGTGATTAATATCACTATCATACAAAACACTCCGATGTAAATCTGTAGATAAAGTTTAATTATTATAAATTGGTGAATTATTCCAACAGTAAAATTAACTTCTATTTTTTGTTTTTTAACTTATTTTACGTTTATTTTGTTTATTTCTAAAATAGTTATGGCAGTTAAAAAAAAAAAAAAAAAGAAATTTAAAGAATGTCGAAAATTTACCGATTTAAAAATTGTAATTTCTATGGGGATTTTCTCTTTTTACAGGAGACGAAGGAAATTTTTAAAATTTTTAAGAACAATTTCTACAACTAGATATGATTTGTGATTTTTTGACGTATGATTGAAAGAAATCGGTCCGATCAGTGCTAAGAAAAAGTGGCATACATAAAAAAAAACACATCTTAGTAAAATTAATACCTTCTCAGCTTCGCCTCAAAATCACCAGTGAATTACGACCCCTAATTGATTCAATATACTGTCTTTTACATCATTAAGTACTTTATAATATATCATGGCATACATGTTTCTGAATGCTAAATAAATAAAAATATTATTAATTGATTAAAATTAACTAGATGTCAGTTTTTTATTTATTACTGCAATAAATCAACTTGATAAATAAATAAAATAACATTTTATCAACTACAATTTTTCCGATATACTCTATAATTTAAAACGATTATCGATAATAATAAAAATAAGCATATACATCGGCTATTTTTATTTTTTTGAAACACATTTTTAAAATATTTTAGACATATAACTTTGCTTTCCTGGATAACGAATCAAAAGTTATTTTACTAATTTATCATGTAATCTGTTGCAAATGATTCTATTTGGTTGGCTATAAATTAATTCAGTTAACAGTAAATTACGATTCCAATCACCATCCCGACGACAGATTTTTTCCACATATGACATAATGTGGACGGCCCTGGAACTACTGCGAGGTATTGCTTCAGGGCGGCCCACGCCATCTATAATTCACACCACCACGTTGTGAAGCGGTTTACCGGTACTCTTCCGAAGCTCGTATCCGTTGGCGCGTTCGACGGCCAAGAAGTCCGCGGGTGGCAGAGAAACCAGTACCTTGGCCGCCACTCCGGATACGGTGCGGTATGCGCACACCGTCCGGAGAGCGGCCCTTCTCTGGACCCGGTTCAACGCTTCTGCGTTCTTGGACGAGTACTCCAGTATACCCGCCCAGACCGGGAACCCGTAAAGGAAGACCGAGTGAACGACGCTGACTAACAGTCGGCGTCAGTGTTCTCTCTGTCCCCCGATGTTCGGCATGAGTCCCGCCAGGCAGTCCATGACCTGAGCTCGCTGGGCCGCACGTTATATGTGAACATCAACCTGTCGTCGATGAACAGGCTCAGATAAATTATCAATCTTGGAATTATGAAAACTTATAGAAGTATATCACATTATATGGTTAGTTTAAAGTTTAAAAGTCTAAAAAATTATACATAATATTTATTTTACATTCAAAATTGATATCTTGTTCGTCTGTACCATCTTTTTTTATTGCTTTTTCAGCGTCTTCTGGTGTAATAACCATATTCAATAATTTTAAAGCTTCAATAAATGTTTGTTTAGTCATCTTGCCATCTTGGTTGACATGATATTCATGAATAATTTTTAATGTATGCTCAACTTTTTTTGTAACTTCTAGTATTCGTTTTAAAAATTGAGCAAAATTCATAAATCCGTCTTCATCTGAAGTAAAAATTATGTGTTATCAATTCATTTTTATTTAAAAGTAAAATGGTAATATCAATAATTTTATTAGTAATAATCACTAACCGACATTTAAATAATAATATTATTTATTTATTATAATTTTATAAATAATGATTTATACTAGAAATAGTTTTTTATATTACTTGAAAATCTAATAATAATTTCTAAGACGTTTAATTTGTTACATTTATCAAATTGTATACATATGAAATATTAGTTTGAAACAAATATTTCAAAATATTTTGACTAAAGACGATGTGATGAACTGGATGTTCTAAGTCCAAGTTTGATCACGCGAATAAGTGTATTTCGAGAATAGTCAAAATAATAAATATAATGTAACATTCATCGATTGTACACTGACTATTTGAACAATTAATGATCTAGTTAACAATATTACACTTTATAAATGCTATAGTTTCTAATAATTATAACGTTTCTTACTTTTTAGTTATTAATAATATAAATTCCTTAAAAAATATTATTTACATAATAGTTATGAGTTCAAGAAAACGACAATAAAGTTAACTTAAATCATCTTGTTACTATTACCGCAGACACAATTACATTTTGAATAAATATAGTTTAAAAAAAACTAAAAACACGCTTTTAAAGCACATCGAACTAAAAAACCCAGCACAGGCGGGTCGCGGCACAGTGGTGACGTAGCATAGTTTGATCAAGTATAATGATATCTAACAGTGATTAAAATCACTATAAAAAAAAACGTTTCGATGCAAGTCTTTAGATAGTGTTTAATTTTAAAAAATTGGTGGATTATTCCAAAAGTTACATGATCTGCTAGTTCCTTATTAATATCCTGATTAAGATAATGTATGTTGAATGAAAAAGAGATTATTAAAAAATATAATTTCTCATAAAAAAATTGTGTTGATCCATACACTATTAAATATTTTAAAGTAAAAAATGTAAAATATAAAATCGAGAATTTTCACACGAAAATAGCATTTGGTAGCCATTTTCACCGTGAAGACAAGTCCAAAGGTCAAATTTTTTTTTCAAATTAAAGTAAAACCAATACCTTCTCAGCTTCGCATTGAAGCTAAAATAAGCATTAAAAATCAAGTCAGCAAATAGTTTTTTTACCTTGATCCAATGTAAGACGGGTTAAGATCCTTACTGGGGAGCTAGTTGACACAACTTATGTCGTAATAATGTAGTCGACACTGTTTTTGAATGTAGAGACCCGTGAGCCGTTTATTATCAACAACAACCGGTTATTTATAAAAGAATCAAACCGAAAGACGAACACAGTTAATAATAATCTTCGTATATTATCGCGGCATTTTCGTAGGCGTCGGCGACGCGGTTTACGGTAAGATTCTCGGGCGTCGAAAAGTTAGCAGCGTTAATGGCGACGGTACGCGGGTGAGGATTGGCTCGTCGAGTTCGGTCGTGCGGCTCGTCCGGACCCGGTGGCGTACATCGTCAACATTGTCACTTTAACAACGGGAAGAAGACTCAACGTGTATCATTTGCGGCGGGTTATCGTCGGGCGTGCGGCACTTGCTGGACTTTACACCGTGGCGTATGGTCACTTATACTAATAGTAGGGCGACGACTGATAAAGGTGGCACAAGTGATGGGGCCGTGTCTCAATAAAAATTTATTTATATATATATATATATATATGTGGGAAATGCAAACAGGCAATTACAGGAACAGAGCGAAGACGCAATACTATTATTTAATTTATATATATATATATAAATTAATACACAAAAACTCTATTAAATGTTAACAAACAAAAATAACACATATATTTAATTACACACGAAAACTCTATATATAATATTCACACAACACAAAAATATTATATAAAACAGAATACACATATAAAATAAAAAATATACATAGAGACACGTCTTAGCCGACTCACGACTGACTCACGATTTGACTTAATTTTCCCTTCTTATAATACTTGATACCTCTATCTATCTCCAGACCCTGGAAGTGGTGCCATCTAGATACCAATGGTACCCACATATATATATATATATATATATATATAATTGATGACACGCGCTCGTCTACGGGTTGGAAAATATTGTTGTCGTCGAGTGGTGAGTGGGGTGGGGTTAATGCGTTACGACCGTCTAGTCTCAAGGCCATAGACGACGGGATACGCGAGAATAATAACACGTGCCGCAAGGAAAGTTAAAAACATCCCACAACTCACAACAAACATTCAAGTGAAACTAATATAAGCGTGTTAAAAATAAAATACTGCACACAATACGGAAACTACCATTTTTATTTGTAGTTCCAAATATAGATGTTTTAGCTTCCATGAAATCCCAGAAATGTAAATAACTCTCCAAAAAATATCAAACATTACATTTATGGTTACACAAAAATATTTTTATTAAAGTGGAAAATTATAATTAGCACTTGGATGTATAACTATTTGGAACAAATCTACTTTACGGGACACTCTTTTTTTTTCAAAATTTTTTTTTTCAAAACGTTTGTTTTTTTATGCTGATTAAGAATATGTAAAAATTTTTGAGCGGAAGCGTGTAGTTCAAAAGTTATAGCATTTTAAAGTTTTACGTCATACGACTAAAAATAGCTCCAAAAATGGTTTTTTTTTGTTAATTTTCGGGTTTTTTTTTTTATGAGTGATTACGTAATTAATGAAACCCAATTAATTTAAGTTGAGCAAAAAAAAAAAAAAGACCACGATGTGGTGTTGTTTAATGTGTCGGAACAAATCTTATGTACACCAATTAACACTTGTTGTAAACAAAAAAAAAATACTATTACATTAGATATTGTTGATATTAGTTAAGTTGTTGAGGTATTAAAATATACTTACTAATATCTTAATGTTATAATGTTGAGTTATACAAACCCATTTAAATATAAGTTGTGGTCACCTACGCCTGCCGGCTCCGGTGACCGATTCGAGCCCCTTCGGGACTCTCATGGGATGGGGGCTCACGCCCCCAAACCCCCAGAGGATAGAAGTCAAGCCCAAACCCAACCTATTTAAACCCATTCGACTGAAATTCTCAGTGACCCAACAAGTATAAAACCTTGATGTTAAAATGGTGATATAATACTGAAAAAATAGATCAAAAAAAATTCAAAAAATAATTTAATTTATTTTAATTTAATTTAGGTTTTCATTTGAACTATTCACTTGAATGAACTATAAACTAATGAACTATTCACAGATATGAACTAAACGTTCCATCTCTAACTGCGATTACTTTAGTAGCATTAATAGAAGATTGGATATTACAAGGCACATATTACACGAAACATATTACACTTGACGGCAGCGCCTGTGACGCGTTACTATAAACTGTTCTAAATGAGATCGGTCCCGGCGGCCGTAAATACACTACATGGCTACTAAGAAAACCCCAGTCGCCACAAGTCATACACAATTGAATCACCATACCTCACTCCCCCCGACGTATAGTAATTCGCATTATACTTATATATTTATAAAATATTGTATATACATACACATTATGTATTGTTATAAAGATAACAGATTGCGACGCTTGCTAGTTTTATGAAACGACCACCCGTTGACAACCTTCTGCTTGAAACTTTTCATCTTTTTAACGCTGTATCAATGTTTCCCTAATATTATATTTATAAAATTGCTTCTCAAGTTGGTATAAAATTTAAAACTAGAAAAACGAAATAACTTTAAAGAAAAATTATCCATTTTAATAACCTATATTATTTAATTACAATCGCAACTTTAAAGCACTATAACTTTTGAACCACACGCTTCCGCTCAAAAATTTTTACATATTCTTAATCAGCATAAAAAAACGAACGTTTTGAAAAAAAAAATTTTGAAAAAAAAAGGGTGTCCCGTAAAGTAGATTTATACCAACTATTTAACACGACATTTGAAATTATATCTCTTTCATAAAACTGGCTTACTCTATAACATAAAATTATTATTTGTAATAATTACATTTGTTGAGGTTCCAACTATTTTATAATTTTTTCAAATTCTATAAGATCCATTTGAGAACAAATAGTCCTCAATTATAATAATTGTTCTACCAAAGTATTTTTTTGTTTTAACTGTCGTAATATAATCATATTATATAAATACGACACTACTAATAACGTTATAAATTACTATTAAATCATACAACTCAAAACACTACAATAATTCCTGTACTTACACACATACTTTATCATAATAATCACTGAACTAATAAATATCATATTGAATATTAGATTATATCAATATTTATTATATGTATTTTGTATCATTTATTAATATACTATGCATTATTATTCATTAATATAAAATATTTACTCATATATATCATTCTTATAACAATAATTAAAAATGGATATTTATCCAAATTACTCACTATTAATTAATTATTAACTATATCTCTTATATATTCATTATTATTATTATTATTATTACTATTATCAGCATTATCATTATTATACTTACTATTATATAATATCATAATATTATATACTATATTCATGATTTAAATTTTTACTTATTCAATATTTACTATTTTTTATATTTAAGCATAATATACATTTCTTTTTTCTCTCTTTCGATCATAACGAATACATACCATGCTCTCTTACATATCAGTTCAAACAGAAATACATTTATAATTTTCAGACATATTCTTTATATCAATTTTTACCATATAACATTAACTTTCATCTCACCTTTCTAATCCGCTATTGTATTTCAGTTGTGAGGACACAACATTTAAAAAAATCAGGGCGGATGTCGTAATATAATCATCATGATTATTTATACGAGACAACACTAAAATATCCTGTTCATGTACTCAACAATGCTATCTTTTCAGTATTTATTAGTATATTCTTTTTTCATTTCAAATAGTCACCACTTCTATCCATAGAAATGGTACATTTTAACTTGTTTCATTTTACATTATATTCTTACAAGGACATGATCCCTTTCGAACAAAAACTTAGATAAACATTTAAGAGAAATAGTCAAAAAACTCACACTGTTTAACATTGTACATTGTAGTGTATGCGGTTCGATCATAAATCAATTAATAATTACTTTAAAAATCCTTCCTCACCAAAATAAAATCTATATATTATTTTTGTCATCTTTGTTATTCTACTATTAATAGATAAATGCATTATATCAATTTTCGTCTTGCTTGTAAAAAAACATGTTAATGTTATATATGTAAATGTCAAAATAATTTATGTTCTATTCATCTGTATTGATCTCTGTGTTTTTCATGCTTACTTATTAATAAACAATTATACTAAAAATTCGACAGTGACGATTTTTGAGGGTAAAAAAGATTATAAAAGCCAGAGCAAACCCTTGCTCCTGGCTGTTCATTTCGTGCTCTGTATTTGGGCTATTCTTTTCGTGGTCCGCATTAAGTCATACGAACATCGTAATCGTCATTGTCGAAATTTTATGTGTTAATTTGTGAACTAAAAATCTGAACTTGTGTATTTTATTTATCATCTTCACCGATATCATCACTAAGGATAATTATAAAAACCAGAGTATTTACCAGGTAAGATTTTTTTACATTGTTATTTTATGACCCTCGAATTACACCCCGAATCAAAGGTAACTCTCACTCACATTTTTTTACACCAACAATAACATACATTCTAACCCTTTTTCCTCTAAATATTTTAATATTTTTTTTTATTATATTTTTGAGTTACGACATAACTATTGTAAATATTTAGGAATATGTAACCAGTCCAATGATATTTAAACGTAATTACTTGAAATCAAAGTCTGTCTGATTTGTATTAATTAATTATTTTGTTAATTAATTAAATTGTATGATAACACCTTTAATGTTATTGGTTGGTAGCTTACGATATTTTAAATAAAACTAAAACACGATATTTTTGTTAATAATATAGACTTTATTTTTATGACGCATAAATTGCACATTTTACATACGAATAAAAAATTTAGGTACGGCGGATTCACTATTCGACATCCGGCTAATGTCTAACTTACAACAAAAAAAGCTACGTCTACTCGATAACAATGTAGATTCTATTTTCTCTAATATCAACCAGTTATTGGTAAAATATCATTTTTATAAATTCACATTAATTTACATACAAAATGCACAAGAAAAATCTTTGAAATTTGTCTGTCGAATATCTCGAAGAAAAAATTAATTAAAAATGCTACCCTTAAATTAAAAATAGATTAGATGAGTATACATTCTAATCCAGATATTACTTTTAAGAAAAAAATTAAGGTTTATAAATGTCATCCATTAATTTATGTTAGTTTTTTTGGACTAACTTTTCAAGGCAAGTTCGTAAATGTTTAATTCAAAATATGTTCGTCTACAGGCTCCTAAATATCGGTTGGTCTGATTGACTTAGGAAGTGAATAAAAGGAAATCCTATAACTTATTAACTAAAGAAACTCAAAAGGAGATTGTCTATAATAACAATGTTAATGTAGTTAATAATAAAATTTATCGTTGGGCGTCCCCACTTACATTACTAATAACAACTAAATATTACAATGTAACAAAATTAGTACAAATATAAGATTTTTAAGTATCGTTGAATTCGATAATCAGTGATCGGATTATAACTGGTATATTCAACCAACTTCAACCGTTTGAATGAAAAAAAAAACACGAACACGATTATATAATCGATCACACGCACGGTAAATCCACCGAATTCACATATACGTTACGATACCGCAAAGTCGCGGAACAACTCGTGGCGGCGCCGATGGGTCTTATCAACAAGACCGTACACTGGTTAACTAACTAGATAAGGTGACGACTTCACCGGACAGCGACGGCATCCCCATAACTATATGTTACCGGTTTCATTTGGGTTGTAAATTGAACGCGGCCACATATAACTCGCCGCAACAAAATACATGAAGAATATTCTCTGGATCTGGGCATTTTCGCGCAGAATTTATTTCTACATATCTCCATAAAAGAAGATTTAGAGGCTGGTGATACATTATTGAAAGCCAGCCAATTTTACAAAAACGTGAAATGATACGATAGCAAAATTTTATTTCAAATGCAACCATGAATAAAAGTACGTTTTCAATAGCGGAATATGAAAGATCCTCATTTAAAATAAGTTGCGTTGAACTTTGTCTTATGTTTAAATTTGATAACAAAATTTTATTACGGAATGTCGGACAAATTCCACATTTTCAGGCGTTCATTTTGTTTTTTTCTATTTGTTAGCTATTTTTCACAAGTCATGACAGTCTCATGGAATCTGTTTACATATTATCAAACTATAAATCGCGACAGCATAATTTTAATTAGAGCTGGAAATTTTCACGAATCACCAGTCTTCAAAAACGATACTATGAAAACATGCGTTAAATAGCGGTCTTTATCTTCATTAAAAAATTAACATTGAAAGTATACTTTCTTCAATTAAATATCTAAATGTAGACTTATGAATTTTTTATTCTTTTCTAGATCTATTTTAGGGAAAATTTAAATGTGCAAGTTTTTTCATAGTAATCTTGTATAATGACATATTTCTGGTTATTTATTTTTTTGTTAATGGCTATGTAGTTTATTAAAATAAATGCATATTTATGGATTCTTAATTATAAGTATATCAATGGTTTCTTAAAAATTTCAACTTATTTGAAAATACCAAAATATTATTTTAAACTTAAAGGTTTTTTCTTAGAAATTCGTATTAGTATCTATTTATTTTATCAAAAGTAACGAAATTCGAAAATTTCAGATTGAATACTGAAAGAAGATTAAAAAAAAAAGTACAAATTTCTTATATTTGTATATTGGAAAATTGAGAAATTCCTTATTTCATATCATTTCAAAATTTAGATTAAGATTGTATTTACTGTAATTAATATAATAGAACGACGGGTTGTTATGCGATTTTTTTTTACACTTTTAATTATTCACAAATAAGCGTACGCGACATAATCACGCAAAATAAACTGTACTGTTTTAAATAAACTGTGAATTAGAACTATACACATAAAAAGACAATTTTGAGTCACTTAATGTTTTTTTAAAAATAAAACGCTGAATCCCCAACACGAATTTTATGGAAAAATATAAATATCACAATAAAATTGTATTAATTGTAACAAAATAAGTATTAATATTCATAAATTTACATGTATTTATCAGCTTTGAACCGTACACATTGCGAAATATTACCTCATATTTTAAGTGATTCAAGTATGGGTGGACGGAGTACAATCTAGCGTCCCTTTTAAGTCAAATCCAAAAATGCTGAAGGGACACTTTAATTTTTAGCACTAAAGAGTGGAAAATTTATATAGATATAGAAAATTTATTCGAATGATCAAAATTTCGAAATTGTTAAAATAGCTGTAGAAAAGAACTTCATGATACGACCATGGTAATATAAGTCCTAGGAACATGGCGAACCATAATATAATAATTGCTATTTGTTTGTTTTTGGATTATTTAAAAGTTTAATTAATTAATTCTTTATTTTAAGCTTGAGAAACCATGTAATTTATCTATGATTACACATGGAACTAAAGGACTTATTATATTAAAGGTTACAAAGTAATAGAAATAAAAATTTAAGGTGATATAAACATTTTTTATATTAATAGAATTTACCACGGTTATTAATATATATTTAGTATGTTGAATATTTTATAAATTATATTACTATATTTGTCATTTCATATTTTTATATGTAGATACCTAACTAAATTGGTTATTGTTAATATTTTTTTCTCAACTTGTTTCTGTTATAGATAATATTTAAAATTAAAAAAATCTATTTTACAATTCGGTGTTACTCGGGAACACCCTCATTTTTTAGGAACTATAGTGCCCCCATACAGTTTTTTCTACTTTAACCACTGTCTTAAACCAAAATGTTGTTGTACCTATTACCTTGATCGATACAACTAAAAGATATGCAAATATATTAAATTTATCAGTTATAATAGAATTTGTTGAAAATAAAATTTAACTTTATTATCATAATTAGACTTTTACTTACCTATTTCATTTTCGTTAGTGAATAATATTTTAATATCATTTTCATTCAAATTGTGTACTGGTTTAAAAGGACACATAAGGGCTCTAAATATTTCGAAGTTCATACCTTCAATATTATGTTTATTACTATCAAATATAGCCTCCAGTTTCTCCCATGCTGATTGATTAAATTTCAAATCCTAAAATAAATAATTAAATGTCATATAATTGAAATATATAAATTTAGAATTTATAATAATACGTGTTAAAATTTTTAGATAAAATAGTTTTAAACACTGATTAAAATCATTTTCATAAAAAATGCATCGATACAAATTTGTAGATATTATTATTTATATATGGAATTGTTGGATTATTCCAAAAACAAATCAACTCTTATTTCCTTAAGCATATCCTGATGAAAACTTTTATGATTTATAGGTAAATTACATAAATAAATATATATGAACGCAGCGGTATTCACTCGGGTTCGTTAACGTTCGTGGTTTTGTTTTGTCTTAAGTCTTTAGCTATGTCGAGGATAAGGAATAAGGTGAGTGGACTGTATGTTTGAATGTAGAATGAATTTTACAAAATATAATTATAACAATTAAATGCATTATATAAGAAATATAAGAAATATAAAATTTTATATACACCAATGTGGATAAGGGGTGGGTACTTAATACTAATGCTTTAAAAGCGTGTTTTTTTAGTATTTTAAGCTATATTTATTTTTCACTTTTTAGTTTCATGTTATGATAGTAGTTACTATCAATATCATGGTTGTAACGGATAACGGAAGTACAGGGTTCGATTCCGGAGAGGGAGTTTAAGAAACGGCTACTACATCCAAGGAAAGCAGCAGGCGCGCAAATTACTCACTCTCGGAACGCGGAGGTAGCGACGAAAAATGACAACTATATATGCAATTTTTTTTAAAATAATTTTTTAAACTCTGAATAANATGTATGTATGTATGTATGTATGTTTGTAACTCTCCAAACGCCACGCGTTATCGCATATTCCGTCGTCTATACTAGACTGTCATAACGCATTCACCCCACCCCACGCCGGCAATACTATTCCTATATAAATTTATTTTTGGTTATCGTACCCGTACACACGTGCGTGTCATCAATATTATATATTTATTAAATAAACAAATTTTTATTTTGACTGACCATTATCATCCGCGTGCATACGGCTTACGTATATATTCCTACCGCCGTTTATACCTCAGGTTTAACGTTAGTCTGACCCGTCCACCCACAAAACACGACTATACCTAATGCATGATACGTTTACGTACTTAAGTCGCTTTACCTGTATATATATATATATATATAAATACATTTTAATTAATATTAAAATTTATATATTAACATGCTTTATTCTAATTAAGAGATATAGAGTGTATTCATTCCGATTACGAGGGATGATTTTCGTATCGTCATTTTTCGTCACTACCTCCGCGTTCCGGGAGTGAGTGAGTAATTTGTGCGCATGCTGCTTTCCTTGGATGTAGTGGCCGTTTCTTAAACTCCCTCTCCGGAATCGAACTCTGATATCCCGTTACCCGTAACAACCAAGATATTGATAGTAACTACTATCATAACATGAAACTAAAAAGTAAAAAATAAATATA